AAGAATTACCATTTGTATTACGGCGATATAATGCGGGTGGCGGATTTGCATCCTGTGAATGTGGCAAAATCTACATTAGTGAAACGGGAAGACCCACGCAAGAGAGTATGGAAGAACAAGAGAAGATACACCCGAAGAGTCAAAGAAGGTATCCACATTAGACTTCACCCTGATAACATCAATAAGAAAAACGGAATCGAAATTCCTAGAGCGTGGATACCAACGATCAAGAAACACAACGGGAGATCAGTACGACAGCAAACTGCCGAGGGAACAAATTGGAGTCTGACCTCTCGGGAAACCAATACTCACTGGAAAAATGGGGATCGTTATACTCCCCTACCGAAGTTGCACGACCGTACCTTTAGAAACTTACCCCCTCTATTGTTATTAAAGTTAGTGGCACGTGAAACACCAAACGCTCAGTCGGTCATTTCAATTGAGTTCACCTGCATAAATAATTTAATGAAAATATTTCAATATATTATTGTGAAAATCTTCAAATGATATGGTTTTGGACAAGAGATGCGTCGGTATACTAACAAGAACATATTGTTTTTGATTTGCATAGTGTATTGCTGTATTCCCCAACCGAGGTTTCTTGGGAGGAGAAATAAAAATGTAGCAAAAAGGGAAGATGTATATTTGTATGCATTTTATCTCAACCATTCTCCCTCACAAAAGGGAAGAACATTCTACACATTAAAGAATGACGACAGATAGGGTAAAAATATAGTACGATACTATAATGATTACATTAGTTTAATTTATATTGTATTAGCACAGGAAATCAATCTTTTCAATCTCCGTTACGAAATGTTGTTCAAGTGTAGATTTCAAAAGACACAAAGAATTGCGAAGCATTTCATTAACTTTTAAGCCTCAATACAAAATGCAGTGTAAAACATATGGTGTGGTTACTATAACTCGCTTTCAATCTAAACTATTCCTGCCCTGTAACTGCAGATTCCTAACTAATTGTTTAAAACCATTGAGTGTATATGTCACATAAACGAATAACAGATTCAGGTATTTACTCTAACTACCCCATTGAGTCTCTGGTTCCTGCCAGTCACAATATTACAAAATTCAAGAAAAACCTGCCGCAATTCCGTCATTTGCATACGTCTGCGTGGGTGTCTTTTTTTTTTTTTTGATCAGCGTAAAGCATAAAGGAATTGCTGATCGACATTGGACAAACAGATAATGATCGTGAGTGTTCCAGAAGGAGAGGCATAGTCTTGATACTTACTTGCAATCATTTAGAACTTTATTAGACGCTGAATGGAAACTATTTTCAAGCAAACATTGGCAAAGTCTTTCAAACTGACAATAACTTATCACATTTAAAGCTTAAAAGATACATTGTTGGCATGCTTATCTGCAAAGATGATGTGGCATGACGCTTCGCTGGTTGAAGTAGCCTTTCACAACTCCCCTTTTACTTAACA